ACTCTCCCTCCTCCTCTTTCTCCCCACTCCAGGTTTTGTTATTTTTCAATTCTTAACGTAAGGTTAACTATCCTGCGTTTTTGTCTAAGCACCTTTTATTCAAGGATATATTGCTAAAATATGATTCTAACCGTTAAACCCTTAGTGCAGAAAATAACTGGCGTGCCCCAGAGTACATTTCTTCTTACATCTTAGCTTCTCATACATCAGCAGAGAAATTGGAAAAGTGGCCATGATTTTAATTATCTCATTTTATTGGCATCACCTAGAAATAAGTGAATGTGCAAATGTGCACTGTTTCAATCAAAATTTTTTCTAAACTGTATTACATGTTTCCTTTATTGCTTGAATACAGAATATAGGACTAATAAAATACTTCCTTGATTACTTGGTATAATCACTTCAAACACTAATTTCACTATTAATGATCTACAGAAACCACTCTCTGAAAATGTACTTAGTTATTAATAGAGTAACTGACACAGTGGTATGGTTTCGTAACACAATCATAAAGAGCCAAAAGACTATGGGTTGACTCTGCCACCACCTTCCCAAATATCCCAGAATCAGGTTTCTTGTATGTAGAACAAAGCTTTATAGATGACTTTCATGTTCCTTTTCATATATTAGATGCTATGAGATCTGTCCAGTTCTGCAGAACTTGAAATGACCATGTGCAGAAAGTATTACAAGTTTAACTTTTTCATAGGTAAATACAATAAATACAAAGATCTCTTCACATAATGAGAACTTGGTGAATTCACACACAGTTGGATATAAATTTTTCATATCTCCCTGTCTGAAAGTCTGATTGGGGTAAATTTCTTTATCGTGTGATTGATTTTTAAAAGTTGTTTGAAAAATAAATAAATAAGTAAAAATTGTTTAATTCTAACAACTTCAACTATACAAAATATAGAAAATAATTTAATATTCTTAACACAGTCATATTTGCTTCAGATCTTTGTTTTTTTTGTTTGTTTGTTTTTCTTTTCTCTTAAACAAAAGGAAACACGTTTTTCTTTAGTTACCTTTTTTGGGGAGTGTACTCTATCTTTTGTCAAAGAGAAATTATACTGACATTTAAAAATGGTAAGGAGGACTTTATTCAAATCTATTGCAGTGGGGGTCAAGACTGTTACAATAGGAGAGAGAGATTGAACTCAATTCTGACTACAACAAGCACAAGTGGGGACTTAAAGCCAATGAGCAGAATGATAGAAGTCAGTGGATGGAAAATTACTAAGAGAAACTTTATTACATTTCAACTATAATGTGCTTCTTGCTAATGAGCCTGACAGAATTCTTGCTAAAAGCAGGCCACGGACATGGGCATTAAGGGTGGGTGATAAAGGACTTGATCAGATTTCAAAGATACTCGGATATCAGTGGAACAATTCCCACTAAACCGACTTAGCAAGAGTCTTTACTAAAGGAAGAAGCAGACCAGGGAAGGGCCTAAGGACAAAGCCAAGTGCTTAGAGAAAGGCTTATAGAAGCCTGACAAAAGTTTTGTCAAGGAGGGCATTGTTGCCACTCTCCTTGGTTCTCATTGTGACCAGAAGCTTTCTGAAAGGGCTCCTCTCCTCTTCCATCGAGTGAATGACATATTTCATCTTGTCACTAGACAGGTTTCTCTGATATGTTCCTCTACTTGGCTCAGATAAAATGTTCTTCCAATAAAGTTATTTCTGCTCATTGAAATTTGTAGAATATTTTATTTTGGACTTGAATGGGACTTGGGGGACATGCAATGCCTTGAGAGACATTTCTACTACTTGATGTCCTGTTTATGCCATCTTCCTCTCTCCTCCTTCCCCCTGCTGTTTGGTTAACTGCCAAAGTTTATTTCCTCTGCACAATATTTGAAGCCTTTCGTGATGTGAAAGGCCTACTTTTTTAAAAGGCTGATGCTCTGAAAATTACTATTTTTGATTTATCAACATGAAACATGGCTACTGGTTTTTAGCCTGAAGTTTTCACATGTTGTTGGTAGCAGAGTCACATCCCTCTTCAACCAGTGACCCAACACTAATTGCTGGATTTTATTAACATGCCGATCTTGTGCCCGTGAACATTGCTGCCTTGGTACTGGTATGGTATCTACGAAGCATATACTGTAGAGGAATTTACTTTATGTTTTACTGTAGATGGAAGTTATCAATATTTTCTTGCCTCACACCACAAATACATTTTTTTTAATGTGGCTTTCACAATGGCATGCATTGCCTGTAAGCATGTGTGCATTCAACATCAGTGATTCCAAATTAAATTCCTACTGAGATCATCAGGCAAACAATTAGCAGCAATTACTTGCTTTTGTAGAAAAATCAAATCTTGCCCTAAGTTTATGGTTAAATTATAACACTATAACACATATTCACGCAGATGTCACATGATGGACAGAGTGGACTGTGAGTCAGCTACTAACAGTTCCATTAGCATGTATGACTTTCATATTGGGCTACATTTATATGCAAATAAATTATCCAAAAACCTTTCCTTAGAATATTATAATATTAAAGAGATTATATTTCATATTTATTAAGAGTAATAAAATATTTTATAGATAGAGCTAGAGATATAGATATAACCTTAGCTTTTGACTCTGAATATCAGGAAGTTTGGTTTCTCTTAGAGTTGCACCCCTAACACATCCTTAGATTTTTCACTTAATCTTCCCAGGCCTTGAAATAGTTTTTTTTTTTTCTTTTTTTTTTTCTCCTTGAAAATACCTTCTGTTCAATTTAACCGAACTGTTGAATTGAAAATTCATTGACTGCTTAATTTCAAGTGAATTTGATGTACAGTTTTTGAGAACCAAGTAAGCATTATACACAATGTAAGGTATCACATATATAATTGTGACCGTATCTTAACTCATGAGACTCAGATCATTTGGGGGAGAAACAATGACATAGATCCTTCCACTGCCTCTTACCATGCTGAGGGAAAACATAACATCCGTGGCATTCTGCACAAAGGACAGAAGCTCACCCACAGCTGAAGGTCATGGAAAGGCTGTATTTACGAAGTGTGGGGCTCAGTTTTGAAGGTAGCCAGATGAAAGGAAGGACGGCGCATTGCAAGCTGAGAGAAAACCATAGGCAGATAGGTCTGTGTGATATTTAGCACACCTAAGTGCCAAGATGTGTTATTACTTATTTAGACAGTTCTCTTTTGAGGGACGTTAAGTTCTTCTGAGTTTTTGTTAAGATAGCAATGCATTAAGGGGCGCCCTGGTGGCTCAGATGTTTGGGCGTCTGCCTTCTGTCCAGGTCATGATCTCCAGGTCCTGGGATCGAGCCCCGCATCTAGCTCCCTGGTCAGCAGGGAGCCTGCTTCCCTCTCTCCCTCTGCCTCTCCCCTTGCTTGTGCTCTCTCTGTCTCTCTCTCTCAAATGAATAAATAAAATCTTTTTTTTTTTTTTAAAGATAGCAATGCATTAAAAGTCCTTTACATAACCTTTTAATATTTCTACCTATTTTCTCTGGAAAGATACCTAAGACTGGATGGCAGAATCAAAATTATAAAGCTTTTTAAGATTCTTTATCTTCCTGAAGAATTGTTCAAATTGTGTTCACTTCAATAATGTATGATAGGATCCACATCACCAAAATGTTGCTAGCACTGAATAATATAATTTTGTTCCTGGGTTGAATGGATATATAATGAATGGTCTCTGGTTAAAATCAACGCAAATTCACATCCCAGACCTACAACTTAGTGCTAGAATAAGCTTGGCAGCTCTTAATCCAGATCCTTCGTGCTTACAACAGGATAACACCTTCCTCACAAGGTTATTGAAAAGATAAGATAGAATAAAATGTATAATCTTATTGCCTTACATAGAAAAAACTCAATATTTCATACCTCTGTGAGATTGGCAATATAAACATACACTAAAACAAATATAGGACAAGAATTTTTCAATTACTTGTGCATTTGTACTACAGATTATAATTCTTATGTATCTTATATAAAATCCCTTGATAAACAAAATTGGCGTAGCTCATTTTTAAGTGATTAGGGGTAGTAAAACAAAACATTTAAGTTAGATTACTGAAGTCGATAATTAATGAAGTGATATTTTTAAATGGTTAATATTTGTAACAATAATAATATAAATACCAGCAACATTTTAGTTACCACTTAATGTAAGGACTTTGCTTTTATGTAAAAATTTTAAAGATGAATTCTTTCAAATAGTTATACAGTCAAGATATTGAGACTCAAATAGGTTATGATCGATTGGCATTTGTGCTACATCCTAGTTCTAGAATGGAGCAAGACTAAAAACCATTTTGTGTGTCTTCACAATTAGGTTATTTCAATAAAATAATATAATAATATTGTCTGTTTTTTCTTAACTATTTTTATAGCGGTCTGATGTAGGGTCCGGAGAATTGACAGAGCTTCATAGGAACTGATTAATTTTCAAGTCAACTTTGTGGATTAAATTAAAGCATCTCTGGTTTAATTAAAACTAGAAATGATAGTTCAGGAAAAAAAATCTTAATTGTAATATTGACATTTCAACTTAGATTTTATATCTGTTTCAAAATATCTGATAGAAGAGATTATATGAGTAAGACAAGATTTAAAAATGACACAAGACCACTGATTTTGTGATCCTAAACTCACACTTTATAATGAGGTTTGTTCCAGAAACAGATTTCACATATGTAGATAGCTATTAATTAATTGAATAGATAATTTTTTGTCAGATTATTAAAAGCAAACTTAACTCTGAGCATTAATGTTTCCTATTTTAATAATTGATCAATTTTGAATATTTGTATAATAATTTTAAGATTATTTGGTGAAACAGTCAAATGACATATTTTCATGAGTTCTGATGTCACATATTAAATATATGAAGTTAGAATTGCTGTGGCTTCTTTTTGTAGTCAAGCAGTTATTACTATTGTTTATGCTAATCAAGTGATTATTTATCTTAAAGTAAAGGTCCATAAACGTTATGTTATTTTGCTTTACAGATGCTCCAAAGTTTATATCAAACCAAACAATTTATTATTCTTGGGAAGGAAACCCGATCAATATAAGCTGTGATGTGAAATCTAATCCACCAGCATCAGTCCATTGGAGAAGAGAGAAATTAGTCCTGCCAGCAAAAAACACCACTAATTTAAAGACGTATAGCGCAGGGAGAAAGATGATATTAGAGGTAAGTCTTCATGTACATATGAATAAGTAGTACTATTTGAGCAGTTGCCTACTATTTTAGAATATATATATAAATATGTTAATATAAATACATTTATATAATATATATTTATAGTATATAATATATATACACATACAAATCTTATTGTGTATCTTTCATGTGTATTTACTTAAAAAGGAATTTTATGCATTTGGATCATGGGCCATTGATGATTAATATCTCACTCTTTACTTATATAGAAATATGAGTGTATAGCAAAAGCCATTATTTTTCATAAATTTTTTTGGAAAAAAATCAATTATATCAGGAAAAAACAGGGTGAGGGAATGAGTAATTCATTAGTTGTTAAGGGCCCAAAGTGTTCATACTAGTTATTGATTCTGAGATTATGCCTTCCTTCTAAGACTGTCATATATAACATTTTGGTGGGTACGTATTTACAAGTTTCTAAATAAACCGGATTTACTTGTTCAATGCCTCATTTCATCTTATATTTTAAATTAAGATTGTAGATAATTGTCTTTATACTGCCAAATGCCTGGCCTTTAAATTCTGTTTGAATACAATACCTTTTTTATTTTTCTACTTTATTTTACATTGTTTTAAATTTTATTATGTTATGTTAATCACCATACATTACATCATTAGTTTTAGATGTAGTGTCCCATGATTCATTGTTTGTGCATAACACCCAGTGCTCCATGCAGAACGTGCCCTCTTTAATACCCATCACCAGGCTAACCCTTCCTCCCACCTCCCACCCCTCTAGAACCCTCAGTTTGTTTTTCAGAGTCCATAGTCTCTCATGGTTCATCTCCCCCTCCGATTCCCCCCTTCATTTTTCCCTTCCTACTATCTTCTTTTTTGAATACAATACCTTTTATTTATTAATTGTAGATTGTGTGTGTGTGTGTGTATCAATTCCCAAAGTTTGTGGGTCTATGATCAAAATCATGAACACTTCCAGTTTATCATGCTTTTAGTACAATTGGGAATCTCTCTCAAAAAGCCTTATTTAGCTGAAAGGATGCTATGTTTTTCCCTGATCCATCACTTCCCCAAATATTTGGGTAACTGACTCTTTGCTAATTAAACAAGTGTCTTAATCTGTTTCTTTTTTTAGTCTTGTATTTTATTTTATTTCCTTTTAATATAGCCAAAAAAGATAAAAAGGTAGGACTCTAAAAGGAGCTGTTGTTTTGCATCAATTTTCTAGACCTAGGGCAGAAAGGCTTTGATTATCACCTATATGCCCAACAAATACATATATTATAAAATATTAGTAAGGCAAACATCTGTGCACACCACCCATTCCAAAGGATTTAAACACCTTGGGATGGGTGGTGTCTAAATCTGTTTCAATTTATTAAATTGGTTTCTTGGTAACTTTATTAGAAGAACTATTGGTGAATTGACACAGAGGTCAATTTCACAAAGACATGTGGTTATATTTAACCTAAAACTTAGGTATTTAACTAATAAAAAACTTTTAGGTTTAACTTCGGTTTTGGGCACTGTGTTAGTGTGCAGGCTGCCATAATGAATAACGCAGACCGGGTAGCTTAAACAAAGTAACCTCTTTCCCCCCACATATTTCTGTAGGCTGGAAGTCCAGAGGGTTGGGTTTTGGTGAAACTTCTGTCCTTGGGTAGGGGATGTGCCCTCTAACCATGCACTCACATGGCTTTTCCTCTGTGCACATAAAGAGACAACTCTGGTGTCTTGACTTCTAATAAGGGCATCAGGGCCCATTTTTATGAACTCATTTAACCTCAGTTACTCCCTTAAAGACCATATCTCCAAAAACATTAGAAGTTAGGGTTTCAACATATGAATTTTGTGGGGTGACACAATTAATTCCATAACAGGTAGATTTAAGTTCATGTTTAAGTGACAGACTAATCTGTAATTTCTGCTTTAGTTCATTTTACCACCTTTCAGTTTCTGGGATAGCTCATAATTCTTCATAGTCAGTGTCAAGCAACATGTTACAAATCTGATATTTAAATATGTTAAACATTTTATATTTAAATATTTAAATATTTAATTCATATAAAGCTCTCCTGCCTAAATAGCATTCCTCTCCAACCCAAACTGAAAACTAAGCAATTTTTGTTCATACATGCCGCATGATCTGTTGGCTAAAGCTATGACTTTGAACATACACTTTCTATGGGTATACTATTTTTTAAAATTAAATCAAAATCCTGAATAAATAACTAACAGATAGCTGATACAACTTAAAACAAAATAACAATAACTACAAAAATGAAAACCAATGATAACATTACTAATTTTGAATTAATAGCATACATAGTTGCTTAGGATAGTAATTATTATAATAGTCACATAATTGCTAATTCTTAGAACATATAATACAACATACAAAAATTAAGTTTGCAATTGATAAATTGGTCAATGACAGATTTCTTGAATTTATTTTTAAAGTTTTTCCTTTTTCACTGAGTATATATATTCAATCTTTTAAATTTATAAATTTTAAAATGTAACAAAATATTCTATAAATCTTTCGGAGTGGTGCCAATAAAATCATCTGTAAAGGTCATCCATTTATTTTTTCCTGTTCATTTCTGGAGGTAATAAGCCAACATTTTAATATATGGGTAAAAATTGATGTAGGAACTTTCTAATAGGCTAATTGGAATAATACTGTGCTTTTGATCATCTGTATGGTTGTTCCTTGTCCTAAGTAAAATGCTAACTATTAAATATATAATTTTCTTACCATGGAACACATAGAAAGAGGAAATGAAGTTTATGAAAGTTTAGGAAAAAGACTAGTGAACTCCTTTATTAACATTGTACTCCCACGGCACCTGGGTGGCTCAGTCGTTAAGCATCTGCCTTCGGCTCAGGTCATGATCCCAGGGTCCTGGGATCGAGCCATGCATCGGGCTCCCTGCTCCGCGGGAAACGTGCTTCTCCCTCTCCCACTCCCCCTGCTTGTGTTCCCTCTCTTGCTGTGTCTCTCTCTGTCAAATAAATAAATAAAATCTTAAAAAAAAAAAAAACTGTACTCCCAGCTCATATTTTGATGTTCAAAATTATATTTGTTGATCTGTTATGTACTATTAAAGCCCAATATCTTAAGTAATCTTGAATTATTTTAACTGCATATTAAAATGTGAAAAATTGGTGTCATATATAGATGTTTCTAGAACTTCCTGTATAAATATCAGCAATAATTGGTATATTTTAAACATTTAAATATATATATATATTTTTTTAAAGATTTTATTTATTTGCGAGAGAGACAATGAGAGACAGAGAGCATGAGAGGGAGGAGGGTCAGAGGGAGAAGCAGATTCCCTGCTGAGCAGGGTGCCTGATGTGGGACTCGATCCTGGGACTCCAGGATCATGACCTGAGCTGAAGGTAGTCGCTTAACCAACTGAGCCACCCAGGTGCCCAACATTTAAATATTTTTAAATTAAAGCTTTAGAATATACATTTGTTGTATAATATTTTATTTTTTTATAAAATTACCTGTCATTTCATTGTGCTGGGATTGGGTATAAAGCAACCATTGCACGTTGTATTCATATTGCTTTCCTAGAACACATCAAATATGCTGCAGGGCACATGATCTGGCCAGGTTATATCGAAGTCTGTGGGTTTTTTTTTTCTTTTTTTTAATAATCTGTGCTACTAGGGGTGTCTTCTATATTTGTTAATCATACAACATGATAAAGAAATTATTTCAGATAAAACTGTAAAACTTTTAACTTTTAATAAGTGAACTCCCAGGAACAGAAAACAAACAAATAAATGAAAAAACCCTGAATTGAGCCTTTTAAAAGCTGTTCCAATGAAACTGGCTATATTTAAATTACTTTTTTAATATTGAGGGGCCGCACAATAGTCCTGATTCTTTGTCATGGCCATCCTGTCTGCCTTTTATCAATTCAGTGCACATTGTTACCTATGGACTATACAAATTACTCTCCTATGCCTGTAAAATGTAGAAATTTTGGGGGCAGATTCCTTTCTCACTAATAAAATTATTTTCAAGTTAAATTACCCTGGTTTATTAAAAGCTGAATGTGAGAAAAATGAATGTTTTAATCACTCAGGAGTACTTACATAAGAATGGTTAAAGCTTCTAATTCTTAAACTTATGATCTATTCCTAGATAGACAGCTAACCAGAGAATGAGTGACACAGCTTTTTTGTACTTTTTCAGAATTACCATCTTCAATGGACCTCAAAATTGTACTTTTAGTTAATAGCCTCCCATTACCATGAAATCATTTTCCCCCCTTTTGGGATAGAGTTGAAATTAACAGCAACTCTTGTAAGCATATTCTCTCTTAATAATAGTTACTGGGATTGAAAATTGTATCTATTACTATCATCAAATCTCTTTCCTGCATTGATACTTCAGAATTTCGGTACATTAGAATTACAGAGTTGGCCCCAACATTCAGCAATAGATTTCTGAAAGGTTAACTGAATTATGGATTTCAAATGCGTAAGGGCTGAGGTCAGCTATTTTCCACCTAAGCTGAAAAAGAATGATAGAAATTGAACAGAAACGGAGGCAAGATACTATTATTAGCCATCAAGATAATGTGCCTGTCTACAGGGATTGCTACACAAGGAACAATATCTTGCAAAATGGGAAGGTTTTTTTTTTTTTTTTTTTTAGAATGAGTCTTCATCCTTCATTAATATTTTATATTCAATAAAATCATGAGAGGGGCAAAAAAAACTAATGCATTTCCAGCCTGTCGTGTACTTTAAATCTGCTTGACTTTAGGCTAAAAAGTTCATGTCTGCGGCAATTGCAGAATATATATTTTTCCAACTGTGTACTACTTTATGAGCTTTACATACCAAATATCTAATGATTTTGCTATTCAATAGATATAATAAAATGGTGGCATTTGTCTATTGCATAAGTTAATAGTTAAGCTATACCTTGCCTAGTGCTGTGGAAATATAGGTTCGTGTATTACATTTTAAAAGGGTGTGATGCTTACTTGATACAGAAAAAAAAAAGAGTATGGCAAGAAGTTGTGAATATTGAACATGGGTGAAGTTGGTAGGAATACTAGAGTCTATTTTAAAACTTCCATATATTGTTTTAAAATTGTTAAACTTTTATTATTATGATTATTTTAGATAGCACCTACATCTGACAATGACTTTGGACGATATAATTGCACAGCTACTAACCGTATAGGAACAAGATTTCAAGAATATATTCTTGCTTTGGCTGGTAAGTATAGGACAATAATTTATAAGATCTCATAAAATATATCTATAAGCAAATAGCTCTACATTTTAATAAATCATGATACAGGTTATTATTAGGAAGAATGAACCAGTGCTTAAAAATTTAGAACAGTTGCATCTGACAGATAGATAGTGAGGACTTAGAATATATTTAGTAATCAGGATTGATTTAAACCCTGATTCTAATCTCCCAACTTTACAAGTGAGCTATCTATAAAAGAAGTAGAAGAGGTATATCTTAAGAAAGCAAATTATATTTTATGCTAAGTAAGAATCCTATCAAAAAATTAAAAAGACATCTTGAGAGAAAATAAACTAAAATTAATCTATTTTAAAATCCTAAACTTGAAAGAACAAATAATAAGCTTATTTTTAAGGTAAATAGAAAATTTAGAGTTATAAAACTTGCACTGAAGGCTGTTGCATTTTGTGTATGAAAGCATTCTAGTTGTTCCCCAAAAGCTTAAAGATATCAAAATAGTAACATGTAGATACATTCATTTTAACTAGAAATCCAGTTATGTTTTTAGTTACATAAAGTTATGTATAACACACACATATATATTTCTAGAATTTGCATTATGTTTTTACAAGACCAATTGGAAGTCTGAAAATATACATTGTAGTATATTTTGCATAGGTCAGAAGATAGAAAAACACGATTCATTGCCTTTTAGGACTAGGTCGAGAAATATCAGAAAATTATTGTAATGTTATGTTTTAATAGAATAAGTAGCTTCCATGAAAATATTTTTAAATGTTTTCTAAGGAGAGTTCTAGTATATAACTATAATTTTATATTAAGTTACAAAATATATTTACTTGTATTAATATGTAAACCATGTCATTAGTTGTAAAGACCAAAGGGAAATTTAAAAGTTTACAAAGCTAATAATACTCAAATTATTATGTACCTGAAATCTGTTTCTGTCCACTTCAGGTTGTGCTACACCAGAGAAGGGATTGTGCGAAAGGGCTTTAGGGAAGAAAGGAGGAAGGAAAGTATTGAGATTAGAGGGAATTTAGGGAGAAAAGGAAGGAGGGAGGGATTAAGGAAGAAAGAAAATAATGAATATCACCTTCCATGAGTTCTTTAGAAAATTAATCTCAATGAAAATCATAGGAAGTAGACTATCCACATTTAGGCATATGAATAAACCATTACATAAGCAATTAAATTCTAGGAAAATGAAATGTGCTGAGTCATACCAAAATTCATGGATAATAAATTGAAGTGAGCATGATCTGTACTGATCAGAAGCATTCATTACTTACATTAATTCCAAGCCTCAGGAAATTAGGCAAATTTTCTTGTAATTAGTATGAACTTTTTAAATAAATAATAACTAAATATGTGACCAATATATGCATATGCAATTATATTAATACTAATATATATTTTACATTACTTTCTTACAAATGATGTAAGTGTGTGTCTATTAGGTAAACTTATTAATGACCAGATTTTTAAAAAATTTTCATGTGCTTGTAATTCTAGAAAAAATATGAAAAATAGAATATTATATTCATGAGATTTTGATATCTTATTAAATTCTCAGGAAATGGGGCACCTGGGTGGCTCAATCGTTAAGCATCTGCCTTCAGCTCAGGTCATGATCCCAGAGTCCTGGGATCGAGCCCCGCATCGGGCTCCCTGCTCCGCCAGAAACCTGCTAGTCCCTCTCCTACTCCCCCCTGTGTGTATTCCCTCTCTCGCTGTCTCTCTCTCTGTCAAATAAATAAATAAAAAATCTTAAAAAAAGAAATTCTCAGGAAATATTTAATGTCTGTATACCTGCATAGCTCACATTTCTTACTATAACATTTTTCATTGAAAAATATGTTTGATACCTATCCTTCTAATGAAGATATTAAGTTAATGAGTTTCCCTCAACCTAACCATAAAAAAAAAAAAAATAGAAAATGTTCACTCAAGCTAACAGCTAAAATGTTATTGGAAATATTTCTTGAATACTGCAACTTTTCTAATATTTCAAAATTTTGTGACAAATGCATACCTAAAATTTGTTTCAGAAGAGGTAGGTTCAACTGAAATTGTAACAGAGATATAAAAATAAATTAGACCCTGAGCCTTAGATGGGAAACATACGTTTAAACATCAGCATTTATAAACATTATTCCTTTGATGGGAACTCTTTATTTAATGCTTACAAAATTTAGTCTTTCCTGAAGAATTTGAACAATGAAAGTGCAAGGTGATTTTAAATAAAATCTTATGTAGAAATTTAAATATTTCAAAATAGATGTCAATATCACAGCTCAATATATCATTGGCCTATCCGACCTAGTAAAAGGTCCAGATCATTTGGCATGTGGTATTTTATTGTTTTTAAGATTTTTTTTATTAGACAGAGAGAGACACAGCGAGAGAGGGAACACAAGCAGGGGGGAGTGGGAGAGGGAGAAGCAGGCTTCCCGCTGAGCAGTGAGCGCAATGCGGGGCTCGATCCCAGGGTCCTGGGATCATGACCTGAGCAGAAGGCAGACGCTGAACAACTGAGCCACCAAGGCGCCCCAGCATGTGGTATTTTATACTGTAGCAGATTACTTTGACTTAAAAGGGCAATACATTAAAACAGCGACAATTGCATATGAAATTATGTGCTATATATTCAGAGAAAAATACAGGAAAAAGCTACCTTTTTAACTTCCTTTATTTCAAAAATCTCTTTTTCCTTTTCCTTTTCCCTCCTTCTTTTCTTCCTTTTTTACCTCCTTTATAATTAAATCTTACATCTGAGCGAAGGAGACATCTGTATGCAGGTGGGGGCACAGAAGCCTACCATAAGGGGTCAGACCCTCAGCAGAGTTAATAGACTAGAGGGGGGTTCAATGATCTAGTTTGAGGTGTTAGAGTCTAGGCAGGTGAGAAGGATTTGCATGTGCCAAGACAGAAACAGCAAACCGGAGAAGAATGTCGGAACCTAATCAGTGTAAGGAGGGGTCCAAGTAAAGTGGTGGGGGCAGTGATGGATGATTCATTGCTACAAACGTATGGGTAAGTAACATCCGTGATTATATAAAAATACAAAAACTAGAATGACCCTGGGGTAATGGTTGGGTATTGGAGTTACTGGTGTTAAATCTGGTTTTAATGTATGTAGATAGATATAGAAAGAAGAAAATAAGTTAAGGTGTGTGTTTGTGTGTATTCAGCCATTTCTACAAGGAACTTCTGGTTGTCAGGAATCTTACTCAGAAAACAATTTCTGTATATGTAAGTGATGAGTCGCTAAATGCTACACCTGAAACCAATTTTACTGTATGTGGTAACTAACTAAAATTTAAATAAAAACTTGACATTAAAAATAAAAAGAAAAGAAAACTATTTCTGAGCTAGCTCTATCCTCTGAGAGGACTTGGGAGCTCCAACCCTTCAACAGCAAAGAGCATACACGGCTGGCAGCCATGTCTTGGTTTCTAATTCTGTTCCTAACTAAAAGTGACCAGGGTTTCTTGTAAAAGTGGCTGATTCTGGGAGTAGGACAAAGAGAGTACAAGATAAGCCTGGAACAATGTGTTGTGCCAGGCAGAAAAGAAATTAAAAAAAAAAAAAAGACATACCAAAAACATCCATCAACCATTTTTATTTATTTATTTATTAAAGATTTTATTTATTTATTTGAGAGAGAGAATGAGAGAGAGAGAGAGAGCATGAGAGGGGGAGGGTCAGAGGGAGAAGCAAACTCCCCGCCGAGCAGGGAGCCCGATGCGGGACTCGATCCCGGGACTCCAGGATCATGACCTGAGCCGAAGGCAGTCGCTTAACCAACTGAGCCACCCAGGCACCCTATTTATTTTTTTTTTTTTAAAGATTTTATTTATTTATTTGACAGAGAGAGACACAGCGAGAGAGGGAACACAAGCAGGGGGAGTGGGAGAGGGAGAAGCAGGCTTCCTGCCAAGCAGGGAGCCCGATGTGGGGCTCGATCCCAGGACCCTGAGATCATGACCTGAGCCGAAGGCAGACGCTTAACGACTGAGCCACCCAGGCGCCCCTCATCAACCATTTTTAACAAATACCATAATACAAATGAATTCACCTGAGGGGCATCAGTGGTTGCTAATACAGGTATATGCTGAGAAAAAATTTAGCAAGTTAGATGACAAAATAAATAAATAAATAAATGGATATACTTTTAAAGTGCCTACCTCCAAATTATTTTTTAATTACAAGAGAAAACAGCAACATTATAGTTGTAAGCTTACCAGATCCTACTTTAATTAAGTGATCAAAATTAACATCTCCATTAATGAGAAAATTAAACTTGGGTGCTACCAGAAATAGGCAACGAGAACAACACAGGATAACAATTATAATTTTCCTGCCAAAAGTGCATAATCAGAATCTAGTATGAGGAAAGAGAAGACAAATCCAAATTGAGGTACCATCTACAAAATAACCAGCCTTCAAAGTGTCAAAGCCGTGCAAAGGAATGATTAAGGAAATTTTCTATATTAAAAGACAGTAAAGATAAATATAACAAATAAATGCCATGCCTGCATCTTTTGTTATAAAGGACATTACTGGGATGACAGGTGAAATTCGATTGTAATCTTTGGATTAGATAGTAATTTAATTGTTTTCTAGAGCTTATGTAGGAGAGTGTTTTGTTATAGTAAATACACACTAAAGTTGGCACCATGTCAACTTACTCTAAATGGCTCACATTAAAAAGATAAGTTCTGCGGGCTTTCTGCTCCTTGGGAGCCTGCTTCTCCCTCTGCCTCTCTCTCTCTCTCTCTCTCTGTCTCTCATGAATAAATAAATGAAATCTTAAAAAAAAAAAAAAAAAAGATTAAAAAAAAAAAGGGCGCCTGGGTGGCTCAGATGGTTAAGCGTCTGCCTTCGGCTCAGGTCATGATCTCAGGGTCCTGGGATCAAATCCCGCATCGGGCTTCCTGCTCCTTGGGAGCCTGCTTCTCCCTCTGCCTCTCTCTCTCTCTGTCTCACATGAATAA